AAATTGTTTAATTTCCTATTATTTTTTTATATTGATAATAGATTTAAATTAAATATTTATTATAATAGTTATAACTTTCATTTTAATTTTATTTAAGACAGTTTTTGTACTTATAGTTTAATTAAGTTGTATTATATTATATTATATTATTTTGTTTTGCACATTATATTATATTATGTTGTGTAAGAAAGTAATTATAAAATAAATTAACTTCTATTTTTTTTTCATTATTCAATTATATATGTTTTTATGCACTTTAAACATTGCCACATATGTGAAATTTGTGATTTGTTGCTAAAATTTAAGTTTAATCTTTATGTCTCCTAATATATAATATATACTCCTTTCTGTAATAAATTACTAAAGAGGAAATTGATGAAACAAGAATTGTAAGTATTCATCTCATTCAATTCAATCTTATTCAATCAAAAACATTTTTACAACTCTGGTTGTATTCATAAAATTAATTCTCACTCTAGAAAATAAAAATAATTTTCGTTATTAACTAACAATTCTAAAAAAATGAATTTATACTCATTTTAATTAATAATCAAAATTTTATTCTAGATAATGATTAATTTTTCATAATTTAAAATAATATCTTAAATATTGCACACCACAAACCAACGCTTTAATTAAACAATTTAAATTATAATTATGTTAAAGCTTTTATAACTCAAACTTCTATAATCCGAATTTTCTATAACTCGAACTAAAAAGTGTGCAATAGGGTTTTAAAGGTAAAATAACATAATTCTGCGTCCATAACTCCAGTTTCTCTATAACTGGAAAAAAAATATTGTGACGTGCCAATAGAAATATGGGAAAGTTCATTCTATTCGAATTTTTATTTTAAGTATGAATCCAATTTGGTGTTAGAGAAAGTCCTTTTTTCAAAAACAAATGTTTAATTTTTTGTTTCTTATGTTGCTTCTTTACGCAAATGCATAGAATTGGCATTCCTTCCACCGAATATGACCTCTGAATTGCAACTACTTGATCAGGGAGTAATTCAAAATGTAAAGTGTAACTATCGCAACAGAATCGTAAAAGAAGCACTAAATTGTATAGAAGCAAACAAAAAGAAGGATATTACATTTATGGATTACACAAATCATGTAACAAAAGCTTGGGATATTAATGTAAGTAGTCAAACGATAGCGCACTACTTTAAAAAAGCTGAATTTTGCGAATTTTCTACATGGGACGTAGAGGACGACATTCTTTTAGTTTTCATGAATAACATTTATGAAGATCGTGAATTGATCTTAAAGTGAAGTAAAAATAAATAAATAAAAGAACTTTCAATGTTACTCAACGATTATATTGAGCTTGATAATGAAATTTGTACATCACGCTTTCCTACAGATAACGATATTATTGAGTATTATATCCCTGACCCAATTCTAAACGCAATGAAAAATGAAAATTAGTGTTCAGTGGATGAAATTGTTTATCAGCCTTACAAGAATGGAATAGAAGACTTGTTCAAAATTCTGAATTTTTATTTGCAAACGAATGATACTACAACTGATAATCACTATAACCCTTTGAATAAATTAAAATATACTTTTACTGAAAATAAAAAAGATTAAAATTCCACTATAACTTCTGTGCTGTATTTCAAATAAATAAACAAATATCTTAAAATGTAATTCTAGTTTCTTTCAAAAATAAAAAAAAATAAAAAAAATTCTCTAACTCTCTAAGTCTCCATAAGTCGAACCTTTTCTTTGCAAAATGGTACTTCGAATCATGAAAGTTTGACTGTATTTCACTTTTTTTGTTTAATAAGTTTAAAGAAAATCAATGTAACTTTAACATTATAAATTCACAAACATTTCTCATTCTAAATGAATAAACTTCTGAATAGATTTTTCCATGTTGACTATAAGAATATAGATATAATATATAGGCAGCTCTAAATAATAATAATGATAAACTAATTATATTTTTAAAATTTAATATGATAAATTTGATAAAATCAATGATGATATAAAAATTTAAATTTTCTAATTTTTCAATGAAATAAAAAAATTCTAAATAATGAAGGCAAAGACATAAAGTATAAAATAATAATTAAATTCCAGTCTGTAAACTTTATAAGGCAAAAAACTTTATTCTGGGAAATGTTTAAATCGAAAAAATTAATATAAAAATTACATTAATTATAAGTAAATTGTTATAATTTTTAAATGTATTAATTTTTTCTCTTTAGTTGATATAAGTGTACATTCTTAAAATCTCAACAAATTTAATCAGTAAGAAATTATATAACATTCTTAAAGTAAGAAATATATATTAAAAAATTTCTAGAAATATTTTATAAAATTAAATAAAAAAAATAATATCTTTTAAACTATTTAAAATACATTATTAAAATAAATAATATTTTTTAAATATATTATTAAAAAAACAAATAAGGGACCAAAACGCCAACGAAACAGAATAGATTTAAACATAAAATTCTAAAGCATTGCATATTATTATGATTTATATGATATTATGAAGTATTGAAACTAAGATAAGAATACCTAATGTCCCTTCGCAAACTTTTAAAGTTGAATATATTATAAAAAAATAATTTTTGTAATGAAATCCATTCATATAACCATATATAAAAAAATAAATTCTTTACACAATAAATTCTAAACTTAATAATATAGATTGTAAATGTTTTCGATTAAAATAATACTCTAATTAATGGTATTAAATAACATATTAAGAAATAAAAAGTTAATTAATTATCATTATTTAAGTTTTAATAGTTTAACAAAAACATTCCCAAATATGCATAAACAAAACGTTCTTGTCTTTTTCTGTTGTGACTTATTCAAAATTAAAATCAACACCGCTTTTGAAATCATTAATTTATTATTATCATATGTATGTTTATATTCTCTTTGATTCATACTTCCTCACTTATGCCGCTCTGCGAATTTGAGTATAAAATTGAGCCTAAAAAGGGTCTACCAGTAGAACCGCAGTGTGATCAACGAATTCGTTCCTGATGTACTATTTATTAACAACTATGTTCCTGTATATTAAAATCTCATTGCCTATAATCTGCATTGATAATTTAGCTGCTTTTTAAGAGTATAGAAGAAAATGTATAATAAATTAAGTTACAATTTAAACTCAAATACTTGAAATTGAGCAATTTATCAGCGCCAAAGACCGTAATATTACGGTCTTAAGCAGTGTCATCACGGTTGCCACTTATGGTACTTTAGTACCAAAATTGGTACTTTTTTTTCGTTTTTTCGTTTTTTCGTTTTTGGTACTCATGTTTAAAAAATGGTGCATTTTTGACGACCCAACTTTATTGTGGATATTTCCAAATAAGTTTTTTTATAAATCAACTTTGCACTATTTCATATTTTGTTCATTTATAACACTATGAAAAACACAGAACGAGAAAACACGAGATCTTTTTTTACAGAAATGGTACCTTTTTAAACCAATTTTGGTACAGAAATAATTTTCAAGTGGCAACCGTGAGTATCTTGATACATTGGTGCCAATATTTGGGACTCTATACAGTTCGCCAAATAAATTGAAAATGCGTTGATACCTTGAATTTTTTACAATTTATACGGTGTACCAGAAAGCGTCCATAACATTGTTTTAATTGATTAATAAAAGTTAGCAAATTTGTTGATATCATATGCATATCATGTGACTTACTGATTTCAAATTTAAGTTAGTTAACACTGACGATCCTAAGGATCAACTTATGCCTATTTTTCAGAAACAATAAATTGAAATAACTATCGGCAAGAACGATGCAGTTTTTGCTCGAATGAGGATAGTTTTACATGCAATGGATATTTTTCTGTGCAAGTCAGATAAAGTTTTGGTTGCTCCTCCATGAGCAAAACGTGAGTTTATAACTACCTTACCAAAATAAAAAATAGTAAGAATAATAAATTATGCTGGAAGATTCAGCTTTATAGAAAGTGTGAAAATAAGGAACTCGACTATGTTCAATGATGATACTTATGTAGTCTTTTTTATGAGGATATTTCTTGGGTACACATATGCTATATAACTACAATGAAAAAGAAGATAAACTGTTCTACAAAGTCATAGTCCTTCTATAAAACAAATTTAGGATATAAGGACATAAAACAATTTTAAAAAGTAAATTTATTTTATACATCTAAACAAATCTTATTATTTGGTGAATTTTTAAAGAATAGCTAGAGAGAATAAGAGTATAATGATTTGAAAGATGACTGTATAGGAAAATAGAAACGATTTTTTACAAAAAAACTAATTAATAGTATTAATAGTATAATAGTATTCCTAGTATTAACGTCACTGTACCGTTCGTAATATTAAGTCAGTTATATACATATATAGTATATATATAGTATATATAGTATATGTATACTAATGTATTATAGACAATAATCTTTTGTTAGGTAGGCATGTTTAAGTTCTATATATAGTTCTATATAAGTTCTATATATAGCTATGGTAGTTAATGGCACCTTTTAAAAGAAACTCGTAATAACTGTGACTGGCAGTTGGTATGTTCAACTTTCTGACACTACGTACTACGCATAAATTCCTTCATCATTAGCGATAGTAGTACTTATTTAAATAAACCTTTAGTAACTGAGTTCTACTTGGAACTCTACATCTTTAGCGATGCTAATTAGTGACACATTTTTAAAGATGCCTGTAGTAACTAAGTGTGACTGGGGGACTGCGATCTTTTACAAATTACCTATTTGCACTTGCTAGGGTATCAATTGCTTCAACAGATTTCCTTAATAGTACATTTGTTCTAAACTGCTCTGCTCTAGATTTGTCAGTCGAAATTAACATTAGTTATAATATTTTGTTATAGCCCAGTGTTATACATATATTAATAAATTATAATTACAAATTAAAAAAGATATATCAGTTCTATTCTACTACTTTGTTAGTAACTCTGTTTTACTTAATTCAATTATGCTTCCGTCTCCTCCTTCAACACATAAACACTGAACTTAATGGAATTTCTTTAATGTATTAATTTGTGCAAAACTTACTGATGGTGTACCATTGGATCCATCGTTGCTTTCCTCATCATTTCCATCGACATTTAACTCTTCACTGGTATCACTTCGCGCATAATTAGCAGCCGCAATTTGCCTTGAAGTAGCGGCAGCTGCCGCCGCAGCGGCCGCCAAGCCCCCCAATTGTATTCTAAAACCATAATCACTTAATTCTGTGCGAGGATTTGTTGGTGGCAAGCAAAGACCAGAGGCTGAGACGGCATTCGCTGTCATGGAAGCCGGAGTGGACACGGTGGTACAGGCAGCAACACTTGATGTGCTGCGTGCAACAGCCTGTGCCGCAACCAGCTTAATGCGTTCCAGATCCATGTCATGTATTGTTGTTGATGAGGGACTACTGTTTGCGGTTGCTTGTTGTTGTTGTTGCTGTTGTTGTTGTTGGGTATGTGAGGTCAGCAGCATTGATGAGGGTGGCGATGACAGCAACTGCGGGTGGCCTTGCAGTAAAGGATGTGTGGAATGTTGTTGGGTTGCGGAAGGTGAAAGCAATTGGTGTTGTTGTTGTAGTTGTTCGGAATGTGGTTGTAGTGGTGATGTTGGTGGGGACAGTGGTGAATTAGCCGGCGAGGGTGGAGTGGCATTAATTGGTATTGTTAATGTAGTTGTTGCAGTTGGAAATGGTGGACGCAGGTGAAAGGCATGATGCGATTGATGTGGATTATGATGTAACTGTTGTTGTTGGTGATGGTGATGTTGCGCCGCTGCTGCTGCTAAGAATTGGGGATTTTGTAGCAAGTGCGGATGTTGCTGCAGTAGTGCAGCGTGTGGATGTTGTAGGGGTTCTGGACGTGCCAGCTGTCGTGCACTAGCAAGTTCAAGTAGTTTACGTTGTTGCGAATTTGGTAACGCAACTGGTGATTGCGAGCGTCGTGTGGTGTTGTTATTGTTGTTATTGGAACTGTTATTATTATTATTATTAATGCATTTTTCACTATCGGAATCTTCAGTCGTGGGACTGTATCTGTTAAGTTTACTATTGTCCGTCATTTGTTTGAGGCATTCCAGTGAATAACGTAAACTCTCTTCATTGGTAGCAGTTGATTTGAGTGTTTGCTGTAAGGCAGCAACATTATTTGTTGGCAACTGCTGTTGATTCTGGACAAATTTGGTTGCTTTTGCTGTTGGAGAATTGACGACAGCTGTCGGCGATATACCGCCGGCTATGTTATGTTGGACTTCAGGAGAAGTATTCGATTTTGGCGAATCGGGATGTGACTTGGGACTCATTTGACCGACGGTAGCTGCTGTTTGAGTTGAATCTGTAGTTTTCACCGGTGATTGTAGCATCACCATTTTCACATAAGTAAAAAAACTTAGTTTGTTTAGTAATTTGGTATTATATAAATTATTTTTGGGCTTGTTTTTTTTTGTTTGAATTACAAGTTTTTAAAATTCACACAATCCTTTTGTTATTAATTTTAACACTTATAGCACACAGAGTATTAATTTAATTAACATAATTTATTAAAAAAAAATTAATTTTTTTATGGAAGTAAGTTCAGTTGTAGATTTCTTTTACTACGCACACTTCAGCATTTTCCGCTAAATAATTTCAAAGTACTATTCACTTCGATGGCAGCCAATCGACTGTTACTGATATCGCATCCGCAGTGCGTATCTTGTCTAATCCGCGCGCAAACCAATAATGTCTGAAGAGGGTTGATTTTTATTTAATCTCTTCCACAAAGATTTTTCTATTTTTTTCCTATTCGACTCAAACGGAAAGAGTAAAAGTGTGCTGCCTGCCTTTACACGATAAACGACGACACAAACTAATCAATCGAGTTGACAACTTACCGTGCTTGCGGCAAGTGAACTGAACCAACTCAAAATAAAAATACTACAAGAAAAAATAAGAAAAATTTCACTCTTGCTACCCCGCCACACACAACTACCGATGCTTGGATGCTGTAGGAGAACAGCGTCTATGGTGGTGGTTGCTTGGTTATTTTTAATTGCAAACGCAACTCATTGGGTTGAGTGAGTGTTATCCGTTATAAGTAGAAATTTGTGCTTGTAAAAAAAATGGAGCGCACGCCCACTTGGACAACAGCTGTTGAGTCAATTACTACACAATGAGACAGATTGAGCAGTTGCTTGAGTACATGCTCAGTTCACCCTACGCGAGCAAAAATTTTAACTCCTCCTCTTTTTAATGGCTCTGTCAAGATTTTACTCTTGACAGAAATTATCGTTGTAATTTATATGAGTAGCATAAATATCTGAAGGCTTTACCCTTCGCCCGCTGTTAAAGCTTCTTTTTGTTTGCTTGCTGGCAATATAGTCTAAGCGGTTTTCCTAACACAACCATAACTACACTCGGTACTTAAGTCTAAAGGATCAGTATCACAATCTAATGATTTAATTTGTTTTCCCCTCGTTAGCAAATGTAATGGTGTGTTCCAAGGCGACTTTTCATTTTCGCATATACCAGTGTATACTGCAGTCTGCAGTGTTCAGTGTTTTATTTTGTTTTTGTTTCTTTTATTTTCAGTTTTAGTTTTATTTTTATTTTTGCCACTTTCTTCTCTGCGCCTTCACTTATGGTTTGCTGCTGTCTTTTACTCTTTCATGTTTTAATACTAAAATTGCTTAGTTGTATGCAGTCGTCTTACGTCTCTGCCTGCCTACTTGAATGTGAGTAATTGTCAAATTATTTAGCGAAAAATTTGTTTGTTTATATGCTTGGTTGGCTCTGAAATGGATCTTTGGTTTTATTTTAGAATTTTTTTTGTTTTCTTTAATTCAAAGCGGAATTCAAACTTTTATTCTTATTGGAAGACATTTTCGCTTAGTATTTTAGACTTGTTGGGCATTAGAGTGTGTACATGTTTGTGTGTGTGATGCTTTGGCTTGTTATTGCAGTAAACGTTTGCGTTTGTAGTTGTATTAACGACATTATGCTCTGCTCTATGGGGCGCGTTGGGCTGTTAATCGTATATGCAAGACTGCGAATATATTTATAGTGTTGCCAATTTTTGTTAAACGTAATTTAATTACAACTCAAAGCAGAATTCATTTTTTTAGGATATGTTAATGAGCTAACGTTGAAACATTTACTTAATGGACTGTTTAACATTTTCTAAATAATCTTTTTGTTTTAAAAAAGAGAATAAAGGAAGAATAAGAAAACGTAATTAAGTGATATTTAAAAGTATTTTTATACCTTTTATTTTTATATTTTATACTTTGAAATACAGGAAAATGTATAATTAAGTACATATTCAAATACGTACTTACAAAAACAAGCATATATACTCCTAATACGGGAACATTTTAACATTTATTACTGAGAAACATTAATTTGACCAACGTGACCAAATTGAAATCGTCATTTCATTGTTTCTCTCATTCTTAATTTCTAAATGAGCATTTAAAACAACAAAACTTTCAAATTTGACGTGACCATGACTTTACATAATATGAGCGCAAGAAAATCTTACATTGGCAATGGCACAAAGAGATCCTCAAAAGTAATTTTAACACAAAACTGGGTATACATTTTTGCTTTCTATTTAAATACTATCTAATATAATTGCTGAATTGATGTATATGGCACGTAAATTCATATTTAAATAGATCCGAGTAAATGCAATGATCGTAATAAACAATTTAGTAAGTTTTTGATTATCTAGGTTTATTAAGCAGGTGCAAAATCAAGCGAAATGGTTATATTCATACAAAAAATTATAAATATTCGATTTTAAGAACGCAGTTCTTGAACTCAAAAACATAAAAACAATAAAGTAAATATAGCTTTTTTTCATCAGATTGATCATTTATTTACACATGTATTACAGCAAAAACCATGCATACGTTACTTATACTAGTATATATGAAAATAGTTTAAAAATACAATTTTATGTATTACATTACCACATATATATGTAATCAAAATATAACATAATCATATAATCAAAAAAACTACGAACTATAACATAATGTCCAACTGAAACTATAATATCATAAAAAATAAATTCTACATTATTTTCCATATATAAATGACATATAATACACATATAATCTGACATACTCATATATTCTCGGCACACAAAAAACGACATTTAATGGCAACACTATTTTTAAATATCTGATTCACATCAACTCATAATTCATTTTTTGTGTACAACTGCATTTAGTGAATTACTGAAGCTGAACAATAACGACAACCATTTTCATTTTCCACAAAGTATCAAAACAAAAAAAAAATAACAAAAAATATAATAAAAATAAGTCCAAAAAAACGAAAACATTGTAAAAACGAGAAAAGAAAATTTTACAAATAATATAACAAAAACAACAACAAGAAAATATAAAAATATTATATGCAATTTAAAAGAGGAGAACATTTACCAAGCTACTTAGCAAACTCATTCTTCAAAAAGAGCCGCCATATAATAACAAAATAAGAACAACAAAAACAACTACAATAATAACAACAGCAGCAATAAGACTCACCATAGTATAGCCCACACAACACAGCCACCACACCATACCACCTCCTTTAGCATAAGTTAGTAGATGAGATGACGCCATCTTGTTCATACTTTTATTATTAAAGTGCTTATTGCTTGCCAGCTCGTTTATACGCGCAGACGTGTACTCATACTCGTACTCGAGCACAGTTTTGCTCTCCATTTGCACAAATTGTTTAAATTGAACAAAATTTATATGCGCTTTGCACAGGCAATTTAATATCGCATCCAATTTGCGGTTTATTCGCATCGAAACGTATCTCATTGCAGGCAGTGTCATCTGCCTTCAATTTAATGGTGAAGGTAATTGTGTTGGTTTTTGCTAGCATAAGCACTGCCACTGCCACTGCTACCGCTACTGTTTGTATTGTGTTTTTGTTGCTGATAGGGACAGTATAGGAGTAGAGTATGAATGCTACTAAGCCGTTGCTGTCTTCTACTCTGTTTAATGAACTACAACGTTCACTGTACCAATGCAAGTTTGTGTTTGTTTGTGTATGTATGTGTGTAGGTGAGTTTGGTATGAGAAGTGCAATAAAATAGCTTTTCTTTTGCCAAATTAAGGAGAGCTTCAATAGTCGTTGTGGTAGTCACAGTACTTCAATGTTGTTGCTGTTATTATTGTCAGTAGTCTTCTTCACACAGATTCACATAGGTACTTTGCAGTAATAAATGCAAGTAGTTATAATTTTGTTTGTATGTTCGTTGTTGTTGGTATTCAGTTTTTTTTTTCATTTTACTACTTCCATTTCAAACTGAAGTGGTAATGTGTATGTGTATATGTATATCTATTTGTATATATGCCTGTGGCTTGTGTACGCTTTTTATTCATTTTTTGTTGGCTCCCTTGCTTTTTATTGCTTGTTGTCGTCGTCGACGTCGTCGTTTCTGTGGTTGAAAAGACGCCGTTTTTCTATAATTAACCACTTAATGGGTAGACGATATTAATGAGAAGCTTGTTATGCTTTTTCATTTTAATTAGTTTTAAGCATGCTTTGCTTTTTTGCAACACCATTTGTCGCACTCATTTTAATTGGTGTATGCCAAACTGCTTGGCACACTGTAGAAAACTCCAAAAAGTAAAAGAAAGAGAATTTACCTCAAAAAATAAAATTGTAGATATTTTTGTGGAGGCATGTCTGCTTTTGTGAACTTTCAATACTTTTACAATAAATGATAATACTTTTAATAATATAATATATTTTACTATTATGAATGAATAATTAAAATGATATTTTGTCAATAAATGATAATACTTTTAATAATATAAAATATATTATTATGAATGATTTACTAATTTCTAAATGATTTTCATTTAAATCTGAGTAATTTAATTAATTTTATTTATTTATTATTAATTTAATTTAATATAAATTTTTTTTAAAAAAATATATTAAATTTTCAAATTCGGTATTAAAACTTAATCTATTATTATTAATTTCTTGAATTCAGTATAAGTAGACTTTTAATATAGCATTGGAAAGATACCAATAGTAAATCTTATAGTGTGCAAAAATATTAGAGTTCAATTCAACTGAACTTTAACTTTCATGCCAGTGTATTCTCTGAGGTTAGGTTAGATAATACCGCCTATCATAAGAGTCCCCTTAGGAGTATTAGTCTATTGCGTTGTTGTATAAGAAACTCATAGGTTTGAAAATCACTTCAAATTTTTATTAAAGCCTAACATGCTGTTTAAAGAACGGTTGTGAAGCCAGCCAAGATTCACACTAAATCTTTGACAAAATTAAAATGTTTTTTAGAGGGAGGTCCTTAAACTACCTAAGACACTTAAAATCTGTGTTTCACATGCGGTTC